GACAAGGGGGAGCTGGTTCGTCCGAACTGTGGCCAGCGAAGACGGCGATTCGAACCGCTGGGAGGAGCAAGCTGACTTCCCGCTGCCGGCCGCGGCGGCGAGGGAGTGGGAGCGGGAGCGGTGGAGCGGCGTGGTCTTTTTTCCTGTCCTTGCCGGTACTGGTTTTTTGAGCGGTCAATTGGCAAGCAGCCCATCATACATACATCTCACAGGCCCCTGCGTGTAATACAAGTATAAAGTAACCTTCGCTCAAAAAAGTGTAAAACAACCAATTTCTTATTCATTCCACTAGAAAAAAATCTACTCTTCAAAGGACTGTAAAAATAAAAATAGTATGCATAAACCAGGAAAATTCACAACATGAAATAATGTAGCGGACATGAACCTCAATAAAAAAGAAAAGAACAACAAAAATGTGTTTTTGTTCAATTTTTGGTTTGTAGTGGCAACCAAATAGATATGTTTACTTAGTTTACTTAATTGGGTCCAACACAAAGGTAATTACTGAAGGCTCAGTCACATGCAATGATCTAAGGTCAACCTCGTGATAGCTTCTCATATTGAGATTGGATATTCAACTTAAACTGAAATCCATATAACATTTTCACATAAGCGTGTGAATTGATGGCAGAGAAAAATTGCACACAACTTTGCACCGAAATTGCACACAACTTAAACTGAATTCACATAAGCGTGTGAATTGATGGCAAAGAAATATGATTATTTTTGCATATTACGTTAAAGTGCAATTTCGGTGCAAAGTTGTGTGCAATTTTTTCTTTAAAAAGAATTTTCTCTTCTTAAAAGAAATACCAACGCCACTAATTCATTCTTTTTTAGAAAAATAATTTGATATTGTTTTACTCTTTACTTCATTTTCATTCTACTTTAAGGTTAGTACCAATTCCACTATTCATTTGTTCTTAGATTTTGTTTTTGCAAAAGTTCCACTTTTATATGCTTATTCTTGCATATTTTTAAAAAGCGCAATTTTTATGTATATTTCGTGCAATTTTTGTCAGTGCTTGTTTTAGATTATTTTTCATATTTTCTTTGTTCTTAAATGGTAATACCAATGCCATTAATTTATTCTTTCTTTTGTAGGTATTTTTGTTTTATTTTTATTTCAATTTTCTGTTTTTATGTGTTTTTCTTTTTTCTTTATGTGTTTTTTCTTGGATGTTGAGTGTGTGTAAATATATGCACGCAAGTACTACATGTATACATTCTATTAGAGTATGGAAATTTCACTACTATATGTTTCTTTTTACATATTATAAAAGGTGCATTTTTTGTACTAATCGTGATGAAATTTTTGTTTCAGTTTCTCTCTTATTTAAGTGTAATACCAATGTTACTAATTCATTCATTCTTTGTAACTTTTTTTGTAAATTCTACTAGTATATGATTGTTCTTGCATATCTAAAAAAATGCAATTTACATGTAAATTATGTGCAAATTTATCATGATTTTTCCATTCCTTTCTTCTTAAAGGGTGGTACAAAAGCCACTACTTCATTCTGTTGTAGAAAATGTTATTTTTTGTGTGTTTAAATAAGTATACACACAAGTACTATACAACATGTGTGTAAATTATAGTAGAGTGCGAAATTGCAATATTATATGTACCTTTTTTTGCATATTACTGAAAGTGCAATTTTCAGTGCAAACTTGTGTGGCGTTTTTTTTCTCCTTTTCTTTTTTCTTAAAGGGGTTAATTATTCCCTAGAAAACTTCATTATTTTGATTTTGTTTTTTTCTTCTTAAAGGGTTTCATTCTTCCACAGAAAACTTCATATTTTGATTTTTATTTTGTTATTATTTATTTTATTTTCTTTCTTTAGAGGCAGTACCGATATCATTCCACTATTGTATGTTTATTTTTGCATATTTTTAAAAATTCGATTTATTTATAAATGTGTACAAATTTTGTCATTTTTTATTTTCTTCTTCTTAAAAGGGAGTACTAATTTATGTACACAATATTGTACTTGCATGTATACTTACACACACATTGTGTACTTGCATGTATACTTGTTGCAGAGGGAGGAAGTGGAGAAAGGAGAACAAAGCGGTGTTGCGCTCGACATGCTTGTTAACGAAATATGCAAACCTTTGAGTGACGCATTCCTGAGAGACATGTTTTAGTAAAGAAAATTACCATATGTCAATTCTACCATATGATACGTGTTTATCCCTTAGCAGCGCACGAGCGCATAACTGGTACTCACTTCGATCCATAATAAGTGTCGTATTGAGAACAGAAACTTCCTTGAAGATAAGTTGCTTCAAAATGATAATAAGTATAGATTATGAAACGCATTTGAAAACAGATATGATAATGCCAAATTCACACTGTTTTAAGCGGGCAGTTTCTTCTATGTTAAATTAAATCATCAACCTTGAAACCTATAAAATTAGATATGCAAAAAGAAAAGGTTGTATTGGAGATGAGAGGTATCGATCATACCTGCCTCTTATTAGCATATATAAGCGCTCTACCATTTGAGCTACATCCCCATTTTATGTTCTCAAAATTAATCCTGGCTATTTATATATTAATTAACCTTTTTGCTATCAATAGAAGCAGACCTACTGTTTTTGTATAAATTCAGTTGCCTCAATTTGCCTAGACATACAGAGAATGACATATTGGTTCAAGAATGGTGCTGGAGATACAAAGAGAGATGATATTCATCTGTGGCTCAGAATATGCACACCAATATGTTGAAACAAGACATATTCCTCAATGTCGTGGTGCCAGAGACCATCAATAAACCTTTCCTCGTGTCTTCCTGTTACATACATCAATACAATAATCAACATGTTCGATTATTTATATACACATGGCGACATCAAACACTGAAGGTGAAGGGTCTGACTTGTTCAATATAGTACAATCTGTGTGACCTTATACTAAGTGCAAGTTGCCGGCAAATTCTAACAAGTCAAGATTGAATTTACAAAGTGACCCAAGGAATAGCTAGAATGAGCACAGATGCAACTTTGTTCCTCATATTATAGGGTGCGGTGGTTCAGAGGAGGGAAACATGACGCAATTCACACACACGCCAAGACGGTGGGCTGATCACTATGCATCAAAATAAAAGAGCCATGGGGTGAACATTCTCTGCAGCTCAATATATTTCTGGCAAAGAAAGAGGGCATCAAAATGAAATGAGACAGTGAAAAGCAATAGAAATCATAGGGTTTAACAGAATCACTTGGAGCACGAGACTGACATACTACATCAGTTGAGCAGAATAACTAGGACCACAAAATACTCCTAACTAAGAGTGCAACAGTCTGAGCCTACAGCAGCAGTTTACTGCCAAAAAAAACCCTCTTTTTATGGGCTGAAGAAACCAAGCAAAATCCTGAAACCAACTAATGTATAAAGATGTCCGGCATGGGGAAGGATGATCTTGTCCATGTAAGGATGAGAATCATGTCAACCGGCAACCTTGCCTGCGATGCATTAACCCTGCAAAGGAGGCAAATTGAAAGCAGCTCCTGTTAGTATCACGGTATGCAATTATAGTCATTTAGTTATATGTCTAGAAGATTGTTGTTACTGGCAACTAAATCACATTTTTTTTAAACGAGGCAAAAGACTTGCCATTTTCATACGAAGCAGAGAGTTGGAACAAAATAGCAAAGTACTCGCTCAACAGAATGTAGCTGGAACTGAATAATTTTGGGCGGCCAAACCTAAAGACTGACGAAATTCAGAGATACTACAACTAACTTCAGCTATGACCAAACTTTCTATGGTTACTGAGTACAGACACAAAAGGAAATGGTATAGCTAATAAAGAAGATTGCATCAAGCAAAACGGCAACTACATAAAAGGTTTCAAATATGTTAATTCCATCCACCATTCAGCTTCAGTTTTATAAAAATACAAGGGAATGTCCAGACAAATTCAGCAGTAATATATCGTATGTTTTTCTCTAACACGCATTGAAAGCATGCCATTATGTTTTAATAATAACTAGTAGCATATTTAGGTGATAACAAGGATACATGTACAGCCAAACCTTATAATTGGCATGTATAGGCCACATTGCAGCAACCTAGAGATTTTGCACAACATGAAAATTTACAGACAGCTTAACTCATATTCTTGCTACATCAAAGAGCATACAAATCATGCATGCAGAACATATACTTACCAGAGCTGAGATAAACATTGCATTTCACAGAAGAATACCCCCTGAAGATGTCATATATTTCCGTGCATCTATCGTTACTTGACGAGACCTCATCTGACAGCCTCACAATCATTCTTTTAAGAATTGGTGCACAGCTGAATATTAGTTTCAAGAAATCATGCTCATGAGCATCTCCTCTGAAGCCATCTATTTCTACTTCTTCAAGAGCAATCAAGGAGATAATTTGGGTCCTCCAGTTCGTAGACTCACAAGGACAATTTGCAGGGCACATTTCTTCCTCCTAAAACCAAATATGCGAATTGCTATGAAATGTCACTGTTGAGATATATAAGCAGAGCGGAGCATTACCTCTAATCTCAGAAGGGTGACCTTAAGCCTCCGTATGGCGCTACGAATCCGATTCAACCCAAGAAGATGTGACACAAACGCTCCAAAAACATGGCCCATTGCTGACAAGTGCAGCTCCAAAGCAGAGAATTCGACAATCATATGCTTCTCTATCTCCTGTGCAAAGTTGGCCTCTTCATCGGAAAAGGTAAACCAGCTCTGAAAAGCAAATTGGTAGATTTGTAACATTCATAAAATTTAGCTCAGCGGTCAATTCCAGTAAACTGACTAGAAGAGGAGGCACACATTGCAGGCATGAATCTGCAGCGAAGAGTGTTTCTCTGCGGTATGCAGGCTCAGCTTCTCGAGGGTCCAAAGACCAAACCCAATAATGCCCGTGCCATAGAGGCATTGCCACGAGACATTCTCCAGCATTGGTGCCAGGATGGAGATGGTCACTTGATTGTAGGCGTGTAAGAAGAGCGTCAATTGCTTGAGCATGGGGGCAACGATGCCGACCGGCCGTGCCCACAAATTCTCGCTGTCCATGACAAGCTCCTGCAGTGACCTTGAGTGGACTGCCCAGTCGTCGTCGCCGAGCCAAATGAGGCCCTTGAGCGTGAGCACGCACAGGTGTGGGCAGAGGGAGAGCAAGGCGCCGAGGTCGTCCACTTGGCAGCCCGTGAGGGTCAGCGTCTGGAGCGTGGGGAACTCGGCCCGGGCGGCGGCCGGTGTGCGGAGGACGAAGGGGATCCACTCCAGCACGATCGAGGTGGCGCGGTGGAAGCACAGTTGGAATTTTGCTAATAGGCCGTTGGCCCAAAGCCCAACTAAAATTCTGAAATTCTCTTGGCCCATTCATGCACACATGTGAGTGGAGTGAGTGAGGCTAAAGTTTAGTCCTACCCTGGAAGTTGAGAGAGAGTTGCACCTCTTTATAAGATGAGCTCTTCTACCACTTGTATGAACATGAGAAGAGGAGACCTACACGCGCGCTCCTCCTCCTCGCTCACCTCGCCTCGTCACGACGCGGGTTGCGGGATTGAACCGAGGACAGAGCTATGCACGTTGTCTATGAGTTTCCGATTCTTTTGTATCGTGACGACTCGGACGTGGGGTTTACTCCCACGACCTATCCGGCCCGCACTATATAGTCAGGCAGACGTCTACCCTAGCCGCCGCCGCTTCGTATGGTTTCTCACCACCGTTCCAGATCATTGCGCCGCCAAGCAAGTCTTCTCCATCCCTCCTTCCGGCGTGCACCGCGAGAAGGGACAACAGGCCTCCGGAACCCCGCCTCTCGTGATCCTGTACGGGAGAGGGGCGATCAGGTTTTTGGGGAGCGCACTCGCGCGACTGCTGGCAGCGACGACTTCGCGAACGATGACTTCTTCCCCGACCTCGGCAATCTCGTCCTCGACGACATGGGCGACAACGTCAACACCGGCGGTGCTGCACCCGCTGCACCGTATGTGATTCTACCCTTCTTGTTTGAGATCGTGGTAGAATTCATGCTTCTAGTATGTGTCCTAGATGTGATATGTTCATCTGCTATGCTAGTTCGCATGATTAGCTTAAGCTCTGCTGCTGTGGTCATGATGTATCTTCTGTTTATTCGGATTAAATCTCGTAGTAATTTGCTCATATTTCCAACAATCCAAAAACCTGATTATAGGCAATTTACTCCGAGTGGTTTTGCTGCGCATCTGAAGCCGCCTGCCTTTAAGGGGGCGCAATATAAGAGGTGGTGCACGAGAGCAGTCTACTGGTTTCAGACCATGGGTCACTATGATGCCATCAAGGGCAAGCCTGAGGGCGATCTTAATCCAGCACAGCTGGAAGCTTTTGAGAAGATCGATACCCTCTTTAAAGGCGCTCTTCTGAGTGTTCTTGATGACTCCATTGTGGATTCGTATATGTCGTTTGACAATGGCAAGGACATGTGGGCTGCGCTCGAGGCCAAGTTTGGTGCCTCGGACGCCGGCAGCGAGTTGTACATCATGGAGCAATTCTATGACTATAAGATGACTGATGAGCGCCCTGTTGTACAGCAGGCTCATGAGATACAGTCGCTCGCAAAAGAACTTGAGTACTTCAAGTGTGTGTTGCCGGACAAATTTGTTGCCGGAGGCATCATTGCCAAGCTTCCACCTTCGTGGAACAATTTTGCTACTTCCCTGAAACACAAGAGACAGGAGTTTTCCGTTGCAGATCTCATTGGTACTCTTGATGTTGAAGAGAATGCGGGAGCAAAGGACACACGTGCTCGAGTTGCTGAGGGAGGTTCTAGTGCCCACATGGTACAGAAGAAGAACTCCCAGCCCAACAAGTTCAAAAACAATAAGAACAAAACTCAGGGCAAAGGCAAGTTTGATACAAAGAACAAGCCATCACATTCTACCAACTTCAAGAAGAATTCTCATAAGAAGGGGAAGGGACTTTGCCATGTCTGCGGTGATCCTAATCACTGGGCTCCGAAGTGTCCTAACCGCTTTGAGGAGCGCGAACATGAGAAGAGCGGCAAGTCCGCTAATGTTGTCATCGGTGATACTGATATGAAGGAATCAGGGTACGGTATTTTTCCTACCATCCTTGCAGTATTTCAATCCCCTGATTGGTTAATTGACACCGGTGCCAATGTACATGTTTGTGCTGACGCCTCCATGTTTTCTTCTTACCAGGCAACAGGGACTTCACCCGTGCTGATGGGGAATGGGTCACATGCCATCGTTCGAGGTGTTGGTACGGTCGATTTGAAGTTTACTTCGGGGAAGACTGTGCGTCTGAAGAACGTTCATCATGTGCCGTCCATCAATAAAAATCTCGTTAGCGGTTCCCGTTTATATCGAGATGGTTTTAAGTTGGTTTTCGAATCCAATAAAGTTGTAATTTCTAAGTGTGGACAATTTTTTGGAAAAGGCTATGAGTGCGGAGGCTTGTTCCGCCTATCTTTGTCAGATATTTGCACTAAAGTTATTAATAATGTTTGCCACAATAATGAGTCTGATATTTGGCATTCACGACTCTGTCATATTAACTTTGGTTGCATGACGCGGTTAGCCAATATGAATTTAATTCCGAAAATCTCTACTGTCAATGGCTCCAAGTGCCAAGTATGTGTGCAAGCTAAGCAACCTCACAAGTCACATAAGACTGCAGAGGCAAGAGACTTGGCGACACTAGAGCTTATACATTCTGATCTTTGTGAGATGAATGGCGTGTTGACAAAAGATGGAAAGAGATACTTCATGACGTTGATTGATGACTCCACTAGATATTGTTATGTGTATCTTCTGAAATCAAAAGATGAGTCTTTGACTTTCTTTAAAAAACTATAAAGCTAAGGCAGAGAACCAACTTGATCGAAAAATTAAACGGCTTAGGTCCGATCGTGGTGGAGAGTATTTTTCCAATGAATTTGATTTGTTTTGTGCGGAACATGGTATAATCCATGAGAGGACGCCTCCCTACTCACCCCAGACAAATGGGGTAGCCAAAAGAATGAACCGAACTCTAACTGATATGGTTAACACCATGTTAGACACTTCGGGTCTATCCAAGGAATGGTGGGGAGAGGCGCTAATGACTGCGTGTCATGTCCTAAACCGAGTTCCCACAAAGCATAAGACCATGACTCCATTTGAGGAATGGGAAAGGAAAAGGTTGAAACTCTCTTATCTACGTACTTGGGGTTGTTTGGCGAAAGTCAATATACCAATTCCCAAGAAGCGCAAGCTTGGACCAAAAACCATGGATTGTGTTCTTTTGGGCTATGCTTTTCATAGCATCGGCTATAGATTTTTGATAATAAAATCTGAGGTATCCGACATGCATGTTGGTACGAATATGGAATCAAATGATGCAACTTTCTTTGAGGACATATTTCCTATGAAGGATATGTCGAGTTCATCAAATCAGGAGATACCTACTCCATCTAGTGAGGAATTCACTGTAATTCCTGAACCCACCATTGCGATGGAACACGTTGAGAATCCTGTTGAGGGTAACAATGGAACTCCTGTGAGGAGTAAGAGACAGAGGACTGCAAAGTCTTTTGGTGATGATTTCATTATGTACCTCGTGGATGACACACCCAGGACTATTTCAGAAGCCTATGCATCTCCTGATGCTGACTACTGGAAGGAAGTTGTACGTAGCGAGATGGATTCCATCTTAGCTAACGGTACCTGGAAGATCACTGACCGTCCTTATGGGTGCAAACCTGTAGGATGTAAGTGGGTGTTCAAGAAGAAGCTTAGACCTGATGGTACGATTGAAAAGTACAAGGCACGGCTTGTGGCCAAGGGTTATATCCAGAAAGAAGGTGAAGACTTCTTTGATACTTACTCACCCGTGGCTAGACTGACCACAATTCGGGTGCTACTATCACTGGCTGCCTCACATGGTCTTCTTGTTCATCAAGTGGACGTTAAGACGGCTTTCCTCAATGGAGAGTTGAAGGACGAAATTTACATGGATCAGCCAGATGGTTTTGTAGTACCTGGTCAGGAAGGAAAGGTGTGCAAGTTATTAAAGTCTTTATATGGCCTTAAACAAGCTCCTAAGGAGTGGCATGAGAAGTTCGAAAGAACATTAACTGCTGTCGGCTTTGTAGTAAACGATGGTGACAAGTGTGTGTACTATCGCTATGGTGGGGGCGAAGGAGTTATTCTTTGTCTGTATGTCGATGACATATTGATCTTTGGAACCAAACTTGATTTAATCAAGGAGGTTAAGGATTTCTTATCTCGCTGTTTTGAGATGAAGGATCTAGGAGTAGCTGATGTTATCTTAAACATCAAGTTGTTGAGAGATGAGAATGGTGGGATCACACTGCTTCAGTCTCATTATGTGGAAAAGGTTTTGAGTCGTTTTGGGTATAGCGACTGCACGCCTTCTCCAACTCCATATGATGCTAGTGTGTTGCTTCGAAAGAATCGACGGATTGCTAGAGATCAACTGAGGTATTCTCAGATTATTGGCTCCCTTATGTATTTGGCGAGTGTCACGAGGCCTGACATCTCTTTTGCTGTGAGCAAGCTGAGTCGGTTTGTGTCAAAACCGGGAGATGATCATTGGCATGCGCTTGAGAGAGTTATGCGCTATTTGAAAGGCACCGTGAGCTATGGGATTCACTACACCGGGTATCCAAGGGTACGGGAGGGTTATAGTGACTCAAACTGGATATCTGATGTTGATGAGATTAAGGCCACAAGTGGTTATGTTTTTACACTTGGTGGTGGCGCTGTTTCCTGGAAGTCTTGCAAGCAGACCATCTTAACGAGGTCAACTATGGAAGCAGAACTCACAGCATTAGACACTGCCACTGTTGAAGCAGAGTGGCTTCGTGAACTCTTGATGGACTTACCTATGGTTGAAAAACCAATACCCCCTATCCCGATGAACTGTGATAATCAAACTGTGATCGTCAAGATAAACAGTTCTAAGGACAATATGAAGTCCTCAAGGCATGTGAAGAGGAGACTAAAATCTGTCAGAAAACTGAGGAACTCCGGAGTTATTACGTTGGATTATATCCAAACGTCGAAAAACTTGGCGGATCCCTTCACAAAGGGTCTATCACGTAATGTGATAGATAATGCATCGATGGAGATGGGTTTGAGACCCACCGCATGAGTTGTCCATAGTGGTAACCCACTCTATGTGATCGGAGATCCCGTGAAGTAGAAGTGGGAGACAAGTTGTTGGTCAACCAGGAGGAGAGTATCCCAATATTAATTATCCCACTCCGTGAAGATGCAATACTCTCTTGATATGCATGGCAGGTTGATACTTATCTTAATGTGTTCCAAGTGGCTTATTCGGGTAA